AGGAATGCGAGAGTTTGGCTGGATAACGTTAAACAGAAGTTAGCTGCTTTTTGGGTTCTGTTCAGTACATTGGTCGGTCTTTTTCGTAGCACATCACCAGCTATATCCGTTGAATGGTAAGAAAAAATATCTCCTACTAACTGTTGATGTCTCTGTTTCCCTGTTCATTACATGCAAGTCTTTCTTCAACAAACTTTGTGCATAATCCATTGCAATCAACACATAATTTTGCCCTAGTTCCTTGTTTATAGTGTCATCTGAGCATATCTTCCTAGCCTTATTAGCAAGATATGTAACTCGTGAAATGTGTGTGCTGGCTTGCTGAAGAACTCTTGCTATACACACTTCTACTGACGAGACCACTATGTTCTCTGTCTGACAAAATATCGAGGAAATATAGTTTGTTATGAAGTTCCTTTTCACACATAAATCTGATTGTTCAGTGCTTATCGTCGAATGGCTCTAAAAGATATTCTTTTCCACTATTCTTATCAACAACAATGGAATCATTATAACCGTATTAGCAATAAAAGTTACGTTTTTCAATAATCTCTTTAAAAAGTTTTGGTTTCTAGTTTCTCAAGAAAAAAGTCCTCAAGGTCAGGACCCAGAGGTTAACCCATTGCTATTCTATCAATATTATCTGTTATTAAAGACAAAACGAACGTTCATCTTACATTTCAAAAGTAATGGTTTGAGACTAACCTAGAAAATTTCAATATTGTGTCACTATGTACCGACTTGGCTAGCTTTTATAAAATTGGTTATATTGGTTTTGTTTTTCATTCAGACCTTGAGTGAAACTGTCCAGACCCATGTTTAAACTTATTACCTACTCAGTGAACACTTTCGAGAGTGTCTGCATCTTTAACAAGACAACATAGCCCCACAGATCTAGCGCCTCAGATAATATATCACGTAGGTTGATAATAACGTAAAAAACATTTCTTCGCAAAAGAATTTGGATGTCCAGTCAAAAAGACAACGATACATGGAATAATTTTTGAGATGCCGTCCTCATGTATGCCATTGTTTTGAAGTTATGACTTGTAATTCAACATGCATCATTTTGTTCCAGAAAGTACGGTAATTGGTTTCCATCGTTAATATATTGAAGATTACTCCTGTGACGAATTTGGATTTTCGCCGAAGTTTAGTCGTTATGATAGTTGAGATCACCTATCCATTTAATCTGGAGCTCAATCCCACTTAGTTGACTTTTCATTGGGATGGTTCTTTTTCCACAGCCTAGGCTCCCCTTAAGATAACAGGAACAAAGGTAAAAAACCTTTCACTTCTACACAAAATTGTGTCTACAGATTAGTTTATGTCGACTGTTACGAGTTCGACATCGGAGAGTCTTCCTGTAGGATCTCAACTCGCACCAAGGAATACTAGAGTTACAAAAACGAACTTATAATCATATAGTTTGATCTTCTGAAATTCTTTTTTTGTTTTATGGTGTGATATGGTCTGATCTTCATATATGTTAAACATGTACCTCTGAAATATGTTATTCATATAGTGGAGTCAGATATTGTGTTCTGAACTCAGCGGGTTGGGCTAGACGAGAAGTTTCTATAACGAGTACCAATAAAGATTCAAAATTGACTCAAGGCTCCTAATGCTGGTTGATGTGTCACTGATTCAGCACAGGGCAAGGTGACATAATTCGATATTCTTGTCGGAGATTTTGTAAAAGGATAATCGACAGAGGCACACCTTCTGTGTGTGATTATAGTTGTAAAGGTAATAGCGTACGACTCAAATAGTCAGAATCAACATAAAGCCATTCTATGAAAGTAACTCAATCATCACTTTTTGTTTCAACCTACACTATAATCTTCGATTAATATGATTTCCCACTAGTTCCAGCGGTTATGTTACATATCTATCACTAGAAGAATTCGGATGCTTTAAATAGTTATTACTTTATGGCTACTTCAATGATTAGTAACTGCAGGGTATTTAATTGATGTATTACATCCCATGGAAAAAATGAGTGAATTTCTTAATTATAAATAACGAAGTTTGGTCGTAGGTTCACCATTTAATGTCACTATTTACATGCTTTTAGTTCAGGCTGTAGAATAACAAATTTTAATAATCTGAATAAAGTTGAATACATTCAGGTTTCACTGTCAACCACCTCCTCATCTCAACATAGTGCGTACAATGTTGAGTCACCTATACTAGTGGCCTCATTGCAACTTGTTCGATAGAATTAAATCTGAAGTAAGAAGGACCTGACCTACATGACTGTTGTGAATGAAAACGTAGGTGGAGATGACCAAATCAGATTTTTCACATAGCCTGATAGAGTCCTTGTTAAATTCTAAAATCCATACAGAGAATATTTCATTTGCAAATTTACATTATTATTAATTTGCATTCTGTATGTTTCTTCCAATTCACAATTTCTTTCTACTTCCGTTTCTCTTCTCTTCAACTCTATCTTCTTAACCTTCTGTTGCCAGGTTTTCCACTTCTGATTGATAGAACATACTACTTATGACGACAGACATAAGTAGCGTACACTACACTACTACTCGTTTACTCAGAATTTATATTACCTAAAATTATCATCTCTACAACTAGGGCTTCCAATGTTCAAGTACACCTATTGACTTTACTAGAAAATTTCAAGGCAATAGTAGTAACTAAAAAAACCAACACAAGAAATTCAACATAGATGATTAACAACTTATTTATTGGTAAGATATATATATAAACAATGAAATAAATCTTTGACTGTAGATTTGAACGCATCTTTTCACAAAAAAAGTAATATGCTTGGAATGATTAGAGTATGAGAAGTGATCATAACACCGATCACCATGACGCGCAATGCTGACTAGTGTTGGGGAAAGTTGGAAGAACGTTAAGGGCGGCAAAACCAAAACCTGGCATCAGACAACAAAGTCACTAACTTGTGGTATGAGCCATGTCAGTAGATCTAGACTACTTGGTTGGGGTTTTCATGACTATAGTAACCAATGGTTGACATAACACAAAATCGATCACAATGGCGTTGGTGTATACACTCTCTATTTTTTGTCTTAAATCGTGAGATTAAAATAACTTTATACCCTTCTTTCTACGAACTAATTCTTTCTTCCTGTTCTATATCCTTATATGCAATCTTTCTTTTATATATTACCACCATTGAATTAACTACTTCTATGAATTCAGTGTTCATCTTGTTGTGCTAATGAGGTATGGCAACTTGGATCGATGTATATATATGCCTGGTCCTACGTTGTAGCTGACTGACTGACTGAGAGTATTAGAAAATATCATTACTGGATCAAAAATAGTACATTCACATACATTTTATATCGCATTATTATTGTTCAGTAATAAATATAATACTAAATTTTACAATTATCTGCAATTAAGTTGTACAGTGCTATTAATTTTCAACGTGGAAGTATTAGGTCCTTACCTGAAAAGTACGAAGCATTTATTTAAAATGTTTCTGAATATTTTCAAAGAAGTTGAAAAGTTAATTAAAAAATATAGATCTTTGTATACTCGACGAGTCTATAAATTATGAACGAACCAATCAGATTTAAGATGATAGATCTCGGATTTTACCACGAAATTCGTTCATCCATTTGGTTAACTAGCGTTTAAACATTTTAGCTTATATCAGTTCGTGGTGAAAACCTTAAATCTAATGCCTAATCTTAATCATCAACTGTAAATTATAATCCTAATTCCTCATATAGGTCTAGTTATTAGGTGGACACTCTCAAGGTCACTCTGGAGTCACACAAAGGTCATCCATAAATCATAGTCTTACCAGTAAATGAAACAACCGTCATATCATATTGTATTTAGAAAATTTACCATTTTTAACCGAATTAGAAACCAGAATATAGTGAGAATAATAGCAACAGCGATTCTGAAGACTCTCCCGAGCTCTCACATTGTACGAGTATTCCATGCACTTAAATTAATGATTGCTCTGGTTGTCAGAAGAGGCATCAGCCTAGTGACTCCCGAAAGAACTTGGATTTCATCATGAGACGTTATAATCCTTCTAAATGAAGACCTTCTAATTCTCAGGGCAGAGTTAAAATGCTTTGAAATGCTTTTTCTGGTTAGCGTTTTTTTAGAGAGTTGATTTCCTACGGGATTGGGTCGCTTAACTAATGCCTAAACCTCCTGCTTTATCCGGGCTTGGTACAGGCGACCGCCCCAGGGAATCACCAGGTGGAATCGTGAGTTTAATAGGCGTTCATAAAAATGGGATTTCCTCAATCAGTACATGAAACTCTCAAAAAGTAGGTGGGGTAATTAAGTGATTAAGCACTTATTATTAAGTAAATTTTAAGTTTTTATTCCAGAGGTGACTTAAAGTTCATTGGGTATATTTCCTTCAAAAGCTATTTTCCTTTCAACATAAGGTCTTCAGGTTATCCTATAGAGATAAATTGCTTTATGTCTCCCATATTGACATTCTATATATATATATATATATATATATATATATATATATATATATATCGTTGTCAACGGATCATAGGCGAACAACAAAAGTGATCGTGAATGGAATGATGTTAGACCACCATTGAAAACCTGGAAGCACTGGATGGGCATTTCTTCCTAGTATAATACTCTTCATCAGCGCGCATCCACAATGCTGATCCCGGGATTCGAACCCAGGGGCCTAGGTCTCGCGCGCGGACACATAACCTCTAGACCACTAAACTGACATCCGATGATGTCAATGTCTAACTTCAATCAATCGAAAAAATTACACGGCCATCTTCCATTGTACTGAGGTATATACCTGTCTCTACCTGACATGGAGTAGCTCCACTGGTCACGGTTTCTCACTAGAACTTTGGGAATTTCCAAACGAAGCTAATTACTAGTAAGCACATGATAATTATCAGTATAGGGTTGTGGAGATTATTAAGTTTTTGACTGAGATCATGAACCGATTGATGTTATCATTTCTTATACTTTATACATGCACATAATAAACGTACCTTGCAAAACCTGTTAACATTAGGACATAAGATTTCCCCACTAAGTCTCGATTTTCCATCAGTTACATTAAAACGTACTGGCAGATCTTTCCTGGTACAATTCACAGTTGAATCTTTAAAGAATAAACCAAGCGTTCCATCATTATAACACTTGTACTAAATAAAAAGAAATACGATTTTGTGAAATAATTCGAGAATAAATTAATATGAAGATACAATGAAACAGGTTAGATTAAAGATACTTTAAGGATTCTGAACGAAAGTTGTGGGTTTAAAATATATAGATATAACTGATATATTCCAACGAGAATAATGAATGGTAACTATTGCGATCCATTTATAGACAAATCCTATACACATATTTTTATCGGATACTTGTTAATTAACTAAATTATTTATATTCTTGTTCCTCTTATGATTAGCGCTATTTCGACACATAGACTATTATTATACGATTTACCGTTCTTGAGTTGTGCCCAGTCTTTTCATTACAGTCTCCCTCATTCACAGCCACTTTTAACATGGTCTTGTACAAATGTTATTTTCAACTTCATGGTACGATGTGACCTGTTTGATCGGTATATGAGCCCAGTATGTTTGAGGTCAATAAGAACCAATCAACATCGAGGTGCACAGAACAAGCTTTGAAACACATATGGAGAAATTCAAACACTTCACTTCTATTTGAAGTTTGTGCTGATGATGTCGTTCAGAAGGACGATGAAAGCTCCACGACCAAACCATCCAGCTCAGAGAACAAAACTCCACCAAAATCATCCACCTGAGCTACAAATCTTCTCCACCAGCCCAGTATGTTTGAAATACATAATTCATATTGCAGAGGCTGAGATGGGTATTCTGAACTTAATAGGCAAGGATAGGCAGAAAGAAGGACTGATAAAAACTCTAGGCTGCTAGTACAGGTTAAGGCATCCGGTCTATAAGGTATGAGGCTATAACTTATAACCATAGCATAGCACCCTTTAAGAAAAAGGGTGAAACAATTTATGGGTGTTGTTTACGACAAAAAGCGAATGTCTGGCGCTTTAACCGGGTCGCTGAACACGGAGGATTCACCGAGGGGAGTTGGAAAACCCTGATTCCAAGCCAATAGTGCACATGGGCTCCAGGATCCTGTAGGAACAAATGGCGTATAAACCAATCGTTAATCACTGGCTATCATAGGACTGCATCTCTCGACTTTGCTCCACTGCCTGGTGGATTAGATCTTTAGGCCAAAAGCACTGCGTGTGGCCCCCTAATACATAATTCCGTCTGGGCACCCGGGCAGTATCACAGCTCATGCACAAATCGAATGATTTATGCGGTGCATATCTATTTGATGCCTCCTTGTACCAGTGTTTATATAAAAATTTTAAATAAATAAGTTCGAAAACAGTATTTTTTTTAGAGTTTCGTGACTTTATATAGGCCACTTCCTCAGAGTGAAAAGACAATTTATTTAACGATGGAATAAAAATATGTAATAATAAACAGATAAGAAAGAATTAGTCCCTGAATTTTCTGAAGTAAAATCGTGTTCAATCTCCAAAGAACACATATTCCAGATAACTTTAATGACAATCGAGCTGTTTTACAAATTTATCTCGTATGAAGTCTGTGAGGTGTCTTTAGTATTTCACACTGTGAAGATCGAATTCAAGACAAAGTTGTTCTGTTTTACATGATTTTCTACTTTTTTCGGTGATGCAACCTATCTAACTTGAACTGATGTTACTCAAATGCCATCAAACATTTAAATCATCTTGAATGTTTGGTCTTGTCTTTAAAAACTCAATAGACAACAGAAACATAAAAAATAACAAAACTGTACCTTATGACAACTTCCTTTCAAATATGTCCCTAAAGTGTATATATATCTGTCGGTGTAAGTCCAAACACTTCGATGTTCAACACAAATCCCTTTTGATCCATATGTTTGATAGTATCGGTTAATGCCTTCACCTAACATAGAAGATGAGTTTTAAATAAGTGATTAATTATTTCTTATCTATTCAGAACGACTAGCTAAGTACACAGGTAGATCAACAATGTAAATATCTGAATAGAAAAAAAGGAAACATAAATTCACTTGGCATTGTTTACTTGAATCTTCCCAGTTGATATTTAGGACTGTAGTTGATCAGTCTCTTATTGGCATATGGACATACTGGGCGTGTCGCCTCGATAACGTCTCAATTTACAAGAATTATAAGTAAAGATGGATAAAGGCTTGCAGTGGAATAGGGTGGTGACTTTTGAAGCGAACGGTACTGGGTTCGAGTCCCAGAGTGAACATCAACTCTGAGCTACAGATGGATCCAACTGACAAATTGGGAATAGGACGAAACGTGAGTCTCGGATTCTACTATTAATCAATATGCATCTTTGCTTATAATATTAGGAAACATCTGTTTCCCATGGTTATTTAGCTGTCGTATATTTTCTACATTTTACGAAACAATTTTAGAATTCTAATAAAGAGCATTGAATGTTTAGCAAAATGATACATAAGCCATTATAGACATGTTAAATACACCTAGAGTTTACTTTGCGTCCATGATGTAATGGTATCTTTGCTATTGAAAATACCATACAGTTTCAAATTGATTATTTAATCAATGAAAAGGACAATCAGCAAACAAACATGTAAAATTTTAAATGGGCTAACTATATTTGTGAATAAAGCTTAAAACGCTGTTCTAACCAGTCTACTCAAAATTCTTCACTACATGTGTTCTGTGAATAGGTGATTCAATATATGATCATCTTATAAGAATTAAGTCAATTGTATTCACAGAATACTTGCTTTGTAATTGAGTAATTCAATGATAGGTTAACGAAGAAATAAATTGAATAATAGCTAGTAGTGGAATCCAAGACATGCGGTTCGTCCTATTCGTCGGCTGGATATACTTGTATCTTAGAGTTGATGTTCATTCTGGGACTCGATATCGATATCGTGGCAGTCCTCACAGGACAAGTATATATGAGCAACAAGAGACTGATTAATTCCAGTCCTAATTAACAATCAGACGATACAAGTAAATAACATCAAGTGAAAAAAGTGTGATAATTGAATCTCAACTGAATGATTTTTAATAAATTTCCACGTCAAACGTATAAAATATTTAACTTGATAACTTATCGATGTGAAACTATAATTTATGGACGATCATTGAGTTATGCTAAAGTGATATTCACAACATTCACCTACTTACGAGAGCTAAATGAGGGTTATAAACCTGTGGGAAGAATAAACATTATAATTTTTATTAGATGGTCAGAGTTAGGAATTAGATTTAAGGCAATTCACGAACTGACATAAGCTAAGATGCCAGAACTCTATTTACTCAAATGGATGAATGAATTTCGTGTCGAAATCCAAAACCTCTTATATTAAATTTGATTGACTTGTTCATAATGTATAATCTCTTCCCTATTGATGAAAGTATGCTTTTAAGCTAAACGTATACTATACTATACAGAAAAAAGAGTAAAGTGCTTACGTGATAATTTCTCATTCTCCGGATGTGTACAGAATGATGTAGCTGAATATTCACTGCCCAAACCTTTAACATACTACAAATTCAGGAGAGTAAGGTTAGTTCAAAATAATCCATCATTATTATGAGAAGATATTTTCTTACAAAAATGGCGAGACTAATTTATGGACGACCTTTAAAAGAATCTTGTATGGGCTTGAGAAATATTAGCCATTTTTAATATTTGAGATCATGAGTCAATTGAAGCTAGACAAACATGGAAAACCTGGAGGCAGTGGACGGCCGTTTCGTCCTAGTATGGGACTCCTCATCTGTGCTCATCCACAATCTCACTTCGCGAGATTCAAATCCAGTACCTATCAATCTCGCGCGCTAGCGCCTAACCATTAGACCACTGAGCCGACATCCGACGTGATCGTGGATGCACACTGCTGAAGAGTCCTACAGTAGGACAAGACGGTCGTCTAGTGCTTCCAGGTTTCCATGGTGGTCTAGCTTCAACTGACTCATGATCTCAACTATTCCAATTACTATAATACCCACAAAACCCCTTCAAATATTAGCCAATTAGAAAACAGTTAGTATAGTGTAAAAATCTATTATATATAACCAAAGAATTAAAATGCATACATTTCTTTTATATGGTTGATAAACTTGTCAACGTTAGAAAGAGGTTCAGAGATTCTAAAATTGTGATCAATATAGTAGAGGGAATCATCCATATGGCTCTATAATTGTTGACCTCTGTAGCCATGATGAGTAAGCAAAAACTTTCTGCCTTGATCAGATCTCTTCAGTATTGTTTGTGTGCACTCCGGTGGTTGGATCCATAAAATGCCACATGTGGATAAAGACACGATTCACATAAACAAGTCTCTGTAGGTGTTTGTACGCTCTTCAATCATCCGTTTATATTGTAGTACTCGGTAGCAGCCAGTGTCACTGGTGCTTTTATTATCCAGTTCGCAACGATTGTCGTAATTTGCCCTACTCTTGATCTGCATAGAGCGAAAAAATCCTATCACGCTTTCTCTAAAATCCGCTGTGAATCGATCGTACTGGTGTATCAGGTACTGAAATCGCCGCTATGACCTCGAAATTCCTGAATCGCCTATAATTGTCTCGTCTATAAATTATAGTCTTGTCAAGTAATTTTAAGCAGTACTGAACAATTGAAACTATTTTAACTGTTACTTATTCAAAACATCCAATTGTAATTTTCTATGTTAAAACAGTATCATTTCCCACATATTAACCAATATAAGCTTCACCATACATCTCATTAAAAGTACTTGTTATTTATATAAATATAATTATGTAGTGGCTTTGTTTCGTTAATCAATCACCCTCGATAACCATTATTATATAAATCTCAACGGTGTTTGAAATTAGAAGGCAATAAGAAGCGGAAACTACAGTGTATTAGCGAATAGCACAGATCATAAAGTTATAAGCACATCAAGCAAATTTGAAGCAGAGAGGCGTATATGTTTATGCGAGCAATTACATCGGCAAATTTATAGTCAAGTTGCATAAAGGCACAGCAAGACAAAGCAAAAACTAATAATCGGATTTGAATACATAAATACATAGGGATCAGAATGAATCATCGAATGATATTTAAGCAATCAATATTTTAGCTAGAGTCTGTCATGTTCTCTAGTGATCATAATGGTACAATGAAATATGCGAATAGTTACTGTTCAAATAAGATTGTCCGTTAAGTAAATTAATAAAAGGGTTTAGCCAAAGTGAACCATAATCGAAATTTGTTGGCGTTTGAAGCGAACAGTATTGGGTTCGAGTCCCAGAGTGGACATCAAATCTGAGATGCAGGTACATCTTGCTGACAAGTCGCGAACAGGACAAAATGCGCGTCCAGGATTCCACTGATATCCACTATCCATCTTTTGCTTATAATGCTTGTTGTAGGATAGTTTCTATATTTATATCATTGCAGATTATTCCACAGTAATAGTGAAAATATCTTTTTATCTAAATATGGTTTATTATAAAACCTAAATATCTTCAATCATTGTATTCATGACTCCATTGAAGCTAGACCACTATTGAAAACCTGATAGGATTGGACAGCAGTTTTGTCTTTGTATGGGAAGATTAATTGATAATATCATACATGAATAACGATGGTAATTCATGTTTTCTTCACAGATTCATACATGAAATTCGGTACAAGTGAATGTATTTTATAATATATGTAGTTAATTTCTGATTATGGTCAGGAATGAAAAATGATTATAGAAATTGACCGAGAACCCTAGGTCACAATACTAAACTTTATGAAGTGAAATATTCACAAGAATGTAGAGCGATTAACTTACAGCCATTGTTGGACAATAATCTTTAAATGGATCTTCCCCACCGAAATATTCAGGACCATATTGAGTATCAAATGGGGCTTTTAGGAAGAACCGATCTTCTATGGGAACTGGATGATGATATCTCAAAATACTACATGTTCCATATGAGAATGCATCCCGACATCTTCCTTCATTAACAGTGTCACAGAATGGGATAATTTTCCTGTGGCTTAACGAAAAAAACAATCAATTTTAAAGTCAATTAATAATTTGATTTTTCTTCATGTATACTTATTCAAAACAATTTACTATGCCATCAACAAACAAAGTATTATGTTTGAAGTTAAATATCAACAGTAAACAGTTCGACAGTTTCATTATGCAGTGTTTGAAGTGAATACGAGTTCACTTTGTCTGCAAATGGAACAAAGGCTCTGTGAACAAATACCAATAAGTTAGCCATTCTGATGCGTCACAGCCCCATTAACTAGAGAGAGAAGCTCATGTTCGAAACAGAGAAACATACTCCGCAAGCAGCCAGAAGCACGAGAAATAATAACAGGTAAAAATCAAACACATATATACAGCAATGAATTGTCCTTAGGAAGCGTTACAAAATTGCATACTAAAAGATACAACGAACCAATAGTGTTTAAGATTCTCATAAGTGGGAAATACAACCCGAAGGTGAAAATGAGTGCCTTTGGTACAAAAACAAGAAATCCAAAATTTTAAAATAAAATTACAAAAATAAGGTATTTACCAAATGAGTTCTGGGGATCTAACATCCCCAACACATTAGGTAGTTCATCTTTGAAGTTCTATTTCTACTTGATGGTATATTGAAAGGTAAGAAACTTTGATAAATTGATAGACATCTAATATAATTAAAAATATAAATATTAAGGAATGGATCTGAATTATTGAATTACCAGTTGCGATCGCATTGTGTAACTTTGAGTGACATAGCGAAGCAAGGGCTGTAGTCCTACAATTGAGGATATATGCAACTCAAAACAACTGTCTGTCAATAATACCAAAGTCGCAATCTTAAATACGAACGCCAAAACTGTCCCACTGTATAGAGCTGAAACATGGAGAACCACTACAACCATCAACAAGAATGTACAAGTATTTATAAATAGTTATCCACGCAACATACTCAATATCCAACATTGGCCGGATAACATCAGCAACAGCCTTCTGCAGCAGAGAACAAACCAGATTCCAGAAGAAGAGTAAATTAGGAAAACACGTTAGAAATGGATAGGACATACATCATGGAAATCATCGAACTGCATCACGAGGCAAGCTCTCACTTGGAATCGTGAAGGGAAGTGTAAAAGAGGAATACCAAAAATCACATTACGTCGAGAAATAGAAGTAGATATGTAAAGGATGAATAACAACTGGAAAGAAGTGTGAAAGATTGTTTGGGACAGGGTAGGATAGAGAGTGTTGGTGGTTGGCCTATGCCCTTCCACGAGAAGTAACAGACGTAAGTAAGTAAATAAGTAACATATATTTTGTCGATTAGACATATGAAGGTATTGAACAAAGAATAATATTATAAATTCATAAATGAAATGACAATTGACTCACTATTGTCGTCTAATTTCAGCATAGTCGAAGCAACTTTTCATGCAAAAGTCACATCCTAATTGTCTACCATATTCCCACTTCATCGCTTTTGAGTAATCAACAGTGTACCAACTTGAAAATGATATAAAAGAATTTATAAAGCCAAATTCCACATCATTAACGAATGAATGGTTATAATGAAAGTTAGTACAGAATACACCGGAGGGTGATATAATTAATACAAACTACTAAGTTAAGATAATAGTTAAATTATAGTTTACTTTTTGGATGAAAAGTGCTGGTTGGAGGCCTATGCTCCACGAGGAGTAACAGGTGCAAGTAATTAAGTATGTAAGCAAGTAAGTAAGTAAGTAAGCAAATAAGTAAGTATAGCTTATTGTATCTGAAAATGAGTGATTACCAGATAACTTCAAAATGAGTGTTTTAGACAAACGTGATAAGAAAGAAAAGGTGAAAAACAATGGTCATGATGAAGTGTATATAGGTTTGAGAAGAGTGGTATTGCATAACAAAATTTGAGATTTTATAGCAAAGATAGTTTTATTAAGGATAAACCTGTAATTTGTTTACATGGTATGTGCAAAACCAGTGTGGATTTGGTATGGTGGATGTGTCGCTCAATTTCGTGGATTAGTTGAAGTTAGACATTAACACCGTCAGATCCCGACTGGCTCAGTGCCGAAGAGGTTAAAAGTACTTGTGCGAGATTAATAAGTCTTGGGTTCGAATCCCGCGGGAGGGGGTCATGGGTAAGCATTGCTGAGAAGTCCCGTAATGGGAAGGGTTGGCCTCCCAAAGTTCCCAGGCTTTCCATGGTGGTTTAGCTTCAATTGCCCCATGATCTAAAGTATTGAAATTACTACAATCTCCAGAAAACCCCTTTCTGATATGAATGAATCATTTAATGTATTTTGGTTTAGAAAGTATTTTATATTCGCTTAATGAGAAATATGAAACTGAGTTCAGAAACCTTCAGTCTGTTCAGTCATTTCCATAATGTCTCTGAGCCAATGTTGGCGTTTACAACAGTGTTCTATCCCGACGAGAATAATGAATGGTAACTGTTGGGATTTATTTATAGACAAATCATACACGCATATTTTTATCGTATAATTGTTAAGTAACTAAACCTTTCATATTCTTTGAATAAGAAAAAGAGAATTCAGCGAAGAAAATTTCCTTTTAGACGAAATCATTTACTTAAGCTGTACATTCGTATATATAGTTATATGGAAAATGTATTTCTATAGAAGGATAGAAAGGATTGTATCATATTCTTGTTCCTTTTTATGATTAGCGCTATTTCGACCCATAGACTATTATTATACGATTTACCGTTCTTGAGTTGTGCACAGTCTATTCATTACAGTCTCCCTCATTCACAGCCAATTTTAACTTGGTCTTGTACAAATGTTATTTCCAAATTCATGGTGCGATGTGGTCTGATTTGTTTGTATATAAACCAAGTATATTTGAAATGCGTGATTCATATCACGGACGCTGAGACTGGTGTTGTGGACTTAACCTGCAGGGCTAAGCAGGAAGAAGGACCAATAAAGACTGTAAACTCCTCGTACTTGTTTTATGCGTTATTGGTCTGGTCGATGAATCACTGTTCTTTAATTGGTGGTATCATTACGTCGCATATTGATAGGGGCACAAGTCCACAAGTTATAACAGACAGAAGTAGGTTCATAGACTATGCGATTCATTCAGTTTCTCAAAAAATGTGTAGTAAGGTAACAGTTACAATAAAAATGGACCATCTGTAACACTAATCTCACTGAATATATAAATATATATTGACTATGCCAGTTGGTACTGACTTCCAATAATATTTATAAACACTTTTCATGACTACACATAATTTTGCATAAAAGTTACTTAGGTTCGAGAAAGGACTCAATCCGATTGTTTAAGTTTTTGATATTTCAAAGTTCTGGACGAAGAATCAAAACACATTTATATCTTAACTAATGAGGGTTGACAACAATATATATTCAAACATGTTTAGCCATATCCTTTTAGACTGCCTTTAGTAATATCATTCCAAAACCTGCAAACATAGGCTTGTGGATTTCAGATTTCGAAGTCGTTAACGAAACCAAATCTATTTTCAGAGATTCTGAACGATAATGGACGTGATTCTTTTACATCTGTCGTTGTAATAAAAAAATAGGTAATTACTTTGTCTAACTTTGCTTACCCTGAATCCTCAAAGAAGCCAAGAGTAACACGCGATACAGAGTAATCAATTTGTATTCTTCCAGCCATTATTTCGCTCTGAAACCGAAGATGATAATACACTACATAAATAATGAAGCAACTAACATTTATGGTCATAAAAGAATACGAATTTTTAAGCTATTTTATTCTCAATAGTATTTACGTTCTAACCTTTACTAACAAAGGGTATTTCTTTAGGCACGTACCCTACAACTAATAATGAATGAAAAAACTCTGCTCACCATACTGAAATGTGTTACTTTGTTCACATGAGTAATTAATGATGATTGCAGCTGGATTGAAGACCCGTATTTTGTTCTATTCAGGATTCGTCAGCTGGTAGGGTCATCAACTCGGGGATTCAGGTAAATTCAGCTGATGAGTCCCACATAGGACAAAACGCGCGTCACAAGGTCACAAATAACTATCACTCTTGACAAAAGTCTAATATCATGGTGATTGTTTAACATGTTGACTTTATTTGCTACTTAACTCCTTAACACTCTTAATTCAATGCAAATAATTTGAGAAATAGCGAAATACATTATTTTGATAGTTCATTTTAGACAAATGTTTAAATAATGTTTCTTTATCACACAGCTTAAGAATGTATAAAAGTCATATTCACACTTAAGTAAACTCACTGAATATATTCTTCCCTCCCAATGCGATCCTATCAGTCCAGTTTGGTGTTGATTCTCCAAATCTGCTCCATCTAACCGGGTACAACTGAAATGTTTTCTTGCAGCGTTCTAAATATTGTAAGTATGTATATTTTGATTATTTTTTAAATTAAAGGAAAAGAAACCCAGAATAATATTTTCTGATTTAGATCATGAATCGATTGAAAATCTGGAAGCACTGGATGGACAGCTGGTCCTATTGTGGAACTCCCCAGCAGTGTGCACTCAAGATCTTGCATTGCGAGATTTCAATCCAGGACCGATAAGCCTCTCGTTCGAACGCTTAACCTCTACGACACTGAGCCGACCAGCCTACATCACTGTTAATGTCTAACTTCAAATAATCCAGGAAGTTGTGCCACCGTATACCATTGTTTTCAGCGATTTGCTATCTCACAACAGAATCGGTTGACCTTTACTGATCATCGCCTCTCACTAGAACTCCGGGAAATACCTCTTGGAGACCGTCACAAGTGAACATATTTTGATAAATATCAGAGGTCGTTTTTATAGATATCATAGTAATTTAAATAGTCAAGATTATGAGTCAGTTGAAGTTAGACCACCACAGAAAATCTTGAAGTAGTGGACGGCCGTTTTGTCCTACTAAGGGACTCCTCATCACTGCTCATGCACGATCCCACCTCACGAGAATCGAACCCAGGACCTATCAGTTAAGATAGTGTACATCGGACGATGAGAAAAATTTCTTTTCGTTCGAGGTGGATTATTGAATTTCTATCTAACATTTTCTTGATCATAAAATGATAATAATTGCATAAAAGACTTAACTAACCAGGATTCTAGGAGTAACGAAAGCATAAAAGTCTTTTGTAAACCATCCTGCCGCACTTCTCCATCTTCTTGTGATCTTTTGGATAGTGTTAGTACTGTGAAAAAGACGTTCAAAATATCAAAAACTTGCAATATAAGCACATAAGTTCTTTAAAAAATATTCCTTCGAAAGAAAGCCTAGTGATAATGCTACGCAAAACAGTAGTTTTCAAGAATTTTTTAAATAGATTTGTATGGTGAACCGAACATGAAATATTAGGGTCATCATTTTAACTAATCGCTTATTTATTGATCGTAAATATTTGTACAAAGGGGCATCGAATATATATGCGCCACACAAGTCATTTGATTTGTGTGTGGGCTTGGATACTGCCCTGGTGCCCAAACCGAAGCAGATGGTTTTGTTAGGGGACCACATCCAGAGCCTTCTAAATAAAGGTCCAATCCACAAAGCAGTGGAGCAACTTCAGGAGATGCAGTCCCACGGTAATCCGTGACCAACAATACGTTCATACGCCACTTCTTCCCTCAGGATCCTGGAGTTCATGTGCACCATTGGTTTAGAATTAGGGTTTTCCAACTCACCTCTGCTGATCCTCCATATCCACCAACCTGTTTAAAGAGCCAAACATGCGCTTAATGTCCCCTCAATTTCGTAAGCAACACGCCTGGTGAGAGAAAGCAGTGGGTAGGATTCCCCTGGCAGTGACTGTATACTCATTGGCATGTGAGGGCGTTTCGAGAGAGAGAGCCGACTCTCCTCATTCTCGGTCGTACCATGGCATTTTCGAGACTAATTATACATAACATATGTGTGAAATCTACCTTTAAAGATTAGTACGGAGCTTCTATTATCATAATACCAATACACAAGTAAATCGATCATATGCATATAATGAATAACTTTGGGTTTAGAGTTTTGATTTTTTTGACGCCGAGATACATCAGTTACAGATCTAACTTATGCGTTCACATAGTTAGGATTAGCCTGTCTGCCAATGATTACTTGCATAGTACTGTTCACTAATCTAAATGAAATTATCATTGCAATAATAATATGCATATGAGTCAGCATTCTGCTCTTCCGTTTTAAATCTAGCATTGAATTCCAGTCACCTAAGGATGCTAAAAACACTGTTGATAGGACATTGAAGAATTGGAAGCACTGGACGGATGTGTACTGCTGAGGAGTCCCACAATAGAACGAAGTAGCCAACCAGTGATTCCAGGTTTTCAATGGTGGTCTAACATCAATCGGTTCTCGACCTCAATCCAAAACTTAATAATCTCCACAATCCTATACTTATATTTCTGTATCAAAAGGTTTTCTAAGTTTCTATTGGTTGAATATACAGAAAAATGAAATTCTCACCTCGGAACATAATTTCCATATTGATCTTTGTACTTTGGCTTACGTTTATCGTCCCTGGGAGTTCGAGCTGTCCCATTTGGAAAGCGCATAAAAGGGAAGCTGGATGATGAAAATCCCTAAAATATAATAAATTTTAAAAATGTTAAGTAATGACTATACAGAATCAGAATTGTATATATGAGCTTGTATATACCTGATCATATTTACAACACCAACATGTCAAGAATATTAACACTATTTTCAGATAAATAGCTGAATAACACTATAAAGAAAGAACTGATTGACATTTTGCAAATGAAGCAATTACTGTATGATTCTCAGATTTTACTAATATGTTAGTGTTCTAATATGGGATTCCTCAGCCGTCCAGTGCTTCCACGTTTTCTATGATGGTCTAACTTGAATTGACTCATGAATTCAACTATTAAATTAATAAGTAACTTATGTTCACGTAGCCCTTAGTGCTGATCAAGTTTTATCGGTTAGTTATCAGCGTGTTGACCGGTCGAAATGTTTCAATATTCTATGCTTTTTTCGTTAGTTATAGGTAATTACGAGGTCATAATAGAAAAACTCGACATTAGGATACTTATTGTTTTCATGAAAAATATGTAACATACTAGACATATATTGACGGAGTTTTGTTCTCAGAGTTGGATGATTTGGTCATGAAGATTTCATCGTTATTCTGAACGATAGATAGAAGTGTGTTGATGATGTCGTTCAGAAGAACAATGAAAGCTTCATGACCAAACCACCCAACCCAGAGAATGAAACTCCATTAAAATCATCCATTTGAGCTACAAATCTTCTACATCATATCAATACTAGATATATTTCAATATAATTGTTCAGTGATCTTAATGAATAGAAAAGTACTCTTTATCTTATCAAAATAATAGATGAACTTACAAGCGCATGACCAATTTCATGTAAGAAAATTCCACGTGAATTTCTATCTTCAGGATAATCAACTCCCATTTTTCCTGGGCACACATTTACAAATCCAAGAATTGGCCTAAAGTATTAAGTAGTATCAATATATGGATATAAAACAATGAATGAATTATTCTCAATTAAACTAAGTAGTTACATTACAATTTCATTTTGTAATCTAAATTTATCCAGTTTTACATTAAATATTTAGTTCCATAGACATTGTAGATAGTTGGGTAGTTGGTTTAGTGACATAATATCTTACGTAATTTGTTGAATGAGTGTGTTTTGCTAATGGGATTACAAAAAAAATCCTTAGTTCAAAACTATCTATTTTAAAGTTGACAATTTATTTGCTAAATTACTTACTTACTTAAGTCTGTTACTCCCCGTAGACGAGCATAAGCCAACCACCAGCACTCTGTCCCTGTCCCAAAAAATATTTTCCACTTCTTTTCAATTGTTATTCATCCTTTTAATGTTTACTTCCAATTCTCAATGCAGTTTGTTCGTTGGTCTTCCTCTTTTTCTCTTCTTTGAACGATTCCAAGTTAGGGCATGCCTCATGGTGCAGTTGAGTGATTTCCGTAATGTATTTCATATCCATTTCCATGAACTTTTCCTAATTTCCTCTCCAGTTGGAATCTGGTTTGTTCTCTCCCACAGTAAGCTGTTGCTGATGATATCCGGTCATTGGATGTTGAGTATCTTGTGTAGACAACTATTTATAAATACTTTACCTTTTTGATGATGGTTATCTTGGTTCTTCACGTTTCAGCTCCGTACATTAGGACTGTTTTGGCGTTCGTATTTAAGATTACGACTTTGATACTATTGAGAGACAGCTATTTTGAGTTGCAAGAATGCTGCTCTTTCTTCGCCCATCCTCGCATTTACGCTCGCATCTGATCCTTCTTGTTCATCGATAACGCTGATGAACAGGTACGTGAAAGATTCCGCATATTCTGGAGTCTTGCCATCAAGAGTGATTGGACTGCTGTTCTCCGTTTTGAATTTGAGGATTTTGGTTTTCCCCTTTTGTATGTTGAGGCCTGCTGATACAGAGGCTGCTGCCACACTAGTTGTTTTCATTTGCATTTGTTATTTTGTGTGGGATAGGGGGGCTTGGTCATCTGCGAAGTCTAAATCTAATTGATCCTAAACTGTCCAATGTATTTCGTGCTCCCACTCAGATTTCGAGGTCTTCATAATCCAGTCGAAACAGGAAGGAGGAGAGTAGACAGCCTTGTTCGACTCCGGTTCTTACTTGGAATGCATCGGTCAGCTGTCCTCCATGCACGACTTTGCACTGTAGTCCGTAGTATGAGTTCCGGATAATGTTGACAGTTTCCCAGGAACTCCATAGTGTTAACGAAATTTACATAATGTTCTCATGTCCACACTGTCAAACTCCTTGTCATGGTCAATGAAGTTTATGTATAGTGATGAGTTCCATTCAACTCATTGTTCGACAATGATCAGTGGTATCGCAATATGGTCTGTGCACGATTGATCCCTACGGAATCCAGCTTGTTGATCTTGAATTTGCGTGTCTGCTGCATCTTTCATCCGGTTCAGCAACACTCTGTTAAAGACTTTCTCTGGTAATGACAGTATTGTGATGCCTCCGTAATTTTCACATTTGCTCAGATCTCCATTCTTTGGAATCTTGATGAGGTGTCTTTCTTTCCAGTCAGTCGGCGCCCGTTCCTCCTCTCAAAGCTTCTTGAATAGAAGGTGAAGCATGTTTGTAGTTACTTCGATGTCTGCCTTTAGTGCTTCATCTGGTATGTTGTTAAGTTCCGCTGCCTTCCCATTCTTGATTTGTCTGATGGCGATTCTGATTTCCGCGATCGTTGGTGGAGTGATATCTCTAAGAATGTCTGTGTTTCCTGAACTGGGATAAATCACTCGTAAATAAAACTCAAGGTTCAAAGAATGAATTATACTAATTATCAATTTTAATTTAATGAACTTAAAGTACCAATAAATGGATAAAATTGGAAGGTAATTCCTTAACTTTCACAATACTATCGTAAACATTTGATTTAAGAGTAGTATAGTTAAAAAAATTTGTCTTTGAATAAGTAATTCAGTCATTTTTTTTTTACCTAAAACAAGAATATGCTCTAATAAACATATCTAATTACCTATCTGTTTCCTCATCCATTAAACATGATGATGCAAATGCTGCTGTACTACCAGAACAGGTATGCGTATTTATAGCGTCAACAAGTAGGATATAACCGGCAGGTGGTATTCCACTTCCATTATTGTAAGTTCTGTGTAATCGGTTATAATATTCTTGATAACATTCCTGAAACATAATCATGATAAAATTATTAAATCTTAATATTTTGAACACAAATAATAAAATATAGACCATTGAGATGATGGAGAAGATTTGTAGCTCAGGCGGATGATTTTGATGTTCTCTAAGCTGGATGTTTTGGTCGTGGAGCTCCAAGTAGAAGTTTGTGCTGATGATGTCATTCAGAAGGACGATGAAAGCTCCATGATTAAACCATCGAGCTCAGAGAACGAAACCCCATCAAAATATACATCATTGTTTTACGAATTGGATTATCAGTTGTATCTAATCTCTGTTCAGGCCATCATAGCTATTGTATGAAAAAAGTCATACACCGAATTTTGAGAAAGAGTATTTACAATTATGATAATATCAAAATACAAATCTATATTTTTTTCTAAAGAGACTACATTTCAATGTTGATTCGATAATTATCCCGACTCAGTGATCTAGAAGGTAAACGTTCGTGTGCGAGACCGAAGGTTCTAGGTTCGAATCCCGCGAGCGGAGTCGTAGATGTGCATTGTTGAGTATTCTGTATTTCACACCTTCAGTCACTTATAAGAAATGAATTAAAAATCTAATACACATCTCATTGTTGCATTTTAAATATCTACTATCTTTATAACAGTAAAAATATTACGCTGTACTCATACTCACCCCTACATACTGATCTGGAATTTTCACTTGTCCGCACATAACATCGCGTTTGCACATCGACTGACGGCAAAATATGGAATTATTCCCAATAGCTGTGTAATAGTATCCACTTTCACAATACCTTGATGAAGCAAAATAAGAATGTTGTTCAGAATAAAAGAAATCCATCTATTAAGTTTTAATCTAGAATAGTGAATTATTTATGTTACTTAATAGGATACCTTGAAACATTGAAATGACAAGAATGACAAGTTCGACAAGAGTGCTAATGATTATACATCAAAAAACAAGTAAGCTAACAGTACAATCACCTTTTTGCTAGTTGTTTTCCACTTCCAAGTTTCTTGACTGTCAATACGTCTTCCCAATACTTTATCGCTGCTCGTAAATATATCTGTAAAAATGTAAAATAACACAAACAAAGTATTATATTATTAATTTTAATAGTTGGGATCATGAGTCAATCGAAGCTAGATCATCATAGAAAACCTAGAAGCACTGACGGCCGTTCCGTCCTACTGTAAAACTCCTCAACAGTGCGTATCCACGATCCCGCCTCACGAGATTCCAACCCAGGTCCTATCGGTCACACGCGCGAGTGCTTAATCTCTACACCAATGAGCTGGCCGGCATCCAATCATATTAATGACTTACTTCAATCAATCCATAAAGTTGCACCACCATCCACCATTGTTATCAGTGAGTTACTATCTCACAACAGATTCGGTTGAACTCCACTAATCACTGCTTCTCACTAGAACTCCAGGAAATACCTCTTCAAGCAAGTCACTAGTGAGTATATGTCGACTAATATCAGAAAGGGTTTTTGTGAATACTATATTAATTTTAATGAAAAACTTTACTATACTGAGAAGAATGTTTATCATAAATCATGTGAATTACTAAGAGTTTAGCATGATCCTTCATTCTGTAGAAATTATGAGTAAAATGCGTATAAAACTTCAAATGTTTTGGCGCTGTATTCCGTCTATCGATATCATCCGAATGTACAGCGACAGTATGATCCTAAAATTTCAATCAAATTCTCCAATAATATTGAATCTACCAATTTCACTAAAGGAGGTGAACCACAGAATGATGTCGAATTGACAATATGACATATGATCAAAATGAAGAACCATTTTATGAATAAATGAATAAGCATATCTGTTAAGTATGGTGATAACTAACTTATGTCATATGTATACCTATATATATATATATATATACATGTTGTTGTTGTCTGAAGTTCACAGACCAATCTAATGTCTCCGGTCTATCTCGTCTGTTTATTTTTCATTAATATTTTTAACAGTTTCGATGGAGATTCAAATCAATTCACACAAAAAAAAGAGAAAAGAAAAGAGAAAAGAAAAACGAAAGAAAAACGAAAGAAAAAATAATGTAGGTTTACTTTTTGTCTTAAATTCAAAGATTCTGTACAATTTGATTTCATTGTTGATTCTTTTAACTTGAGTAAGTTTAACTTTGTTTCAAAACAAAATCTTCCCCCCATTGCGAAACATTTGACTGAGTTTGGTCATAAAGAAATCAACTTTGCTTTATCCATATTATGATGATTTTTGTAATTATTAATACTTTTTGGACATTTAAATGATTCTAGTAAACGGATAAAGAGAATAGTTGATATACGTTCAAATTACTTACTACCTGATGAGTGAAATGGATACTAAATAAGTATTAAACAATCAAATAGATAGAATGATGAAATTGGAATATGCAATCGCTTGAAGTTGTCAACAAATACAAAACGGTTCAGACAACTTAAGACAACCCAGGGTGTAAACCTTACAAGACTTAATTCAATGAAAAAGGTACCATTGTTTACTTACAATTGAAATGGAATTACAAAGTGAATAACTTAAACAATATCAGGAGATGATGAGATGTAAGATGTTTTGGGATAAACAGTTGATATCTATTGAACATACTTAAATACGAAGTAAGCCATATTACCTTACTTACTTTCGCCTGTTACTCCCAATGGAGTATAGGCCGCCTACCAGTATTCTCTAATGCACTCAGTCCTGGACCTTCATTTTTAGTTCTATCCAATTGTTGTTCATTCTTCTCATGTCTCTATCCATTTATCAGTGTAATTTGTTCTTTGGTATTCCTAGCCTCCTTTGGCCTTGAAGATTTCAAGCGGGGGCATGACTTGTGACGTAATTCGGTGCTTTCCTCAATGTATGTCATAATTACTTCCAGCGATTCTTCTTGATTTATTCTTCCACTGTTATTGTTGATTGTGTTTGGCCAACGGATCAGAAGTATTTTGCGTAGACAGCTGTTAATAAACACTTGTATCTTCTGAATGATGGGTTTCGTAGTTCGCCAAGCTTCTACCCCATACAATAGAACTGTGTTGACATTTGTATTGAAAATCCTGACCTTGGTGTTGATTGACAGTTGTTTTGATATGTAAACTGACTATTCAATATATTGAAAAATTCGGCACTCAACTATTATTGATGAAAATGTAAATGTTTGTTAACTATTTATTTGGAACAGAAGTTCTAATCATCAACAAAATGTAATTCATTAGTTGAATTCATGAACCAATTGAAGCTAGATCACCGTGAAAAACTTGGAAGGACTGAACGGCTATTTCGTTCTGGTATAGGACTCCTCAGCAGTGCGCATTTATGATCCCGCCTCTCGAGATTCATTTTCAGGACCTCATTCATATATCTAGATATTAATTATTAGACTTTAATTGAATATTGCATCTGTTGGATCTTATAATCTTCCCGAATTACTGTTGAAGTCAATTTATACTATAAAGTTTCATCAGATTAATTCAAAAATAGATATGCAATAATTTTTTTAAATATCTAGACTAAGTGTAGTCGAAGTACGTAACAGATTCCCTGAAGATTACCTAGTCACATTGTCGCTTTATATTATTCAGTGTCATAATGTCTCCATCTCTCGCTTTAGCTACAATCTCATACTTAGAATTTAAAATGCTTCCTAATCATAAATATCAGTTTAAGTGTTGTGGAGATTATGAAGTTTTTGATTGAGATCATGAACCAATTGATGTTAGACTAACATTGAAAACCTGAAAGTACTGGACGGCCGTTTCGTTCTATTGTGGGACTCCTCAGCAGCGAGACTGAAGGCCCTAGGTTCGAATCCCGCGAGAGGGATCGTGGATACGCACTGCTGAGGAGTCCCACAATAGGACGAAATGGCCATCCAGTGCTTCCAGGTTTTCAATGATGGTCTAACATCAATTGGTTCATGATCTCAATTAATAATAAATAATTTAGGCAAGAATTTGTAATGTAGAATCATTCATTAAAACAATTAGTTCCTTTGATAAACTTCGATAATACAATGAGAAGATGAAGTTCATCAAAACTATGTCATGATGTATTTGCACAACATATTTCAAATAATCTGATTACGCATAATGTACTTGTTAAGACATTTTTATATGAAAATTAATAGGTCAACTAGACAGGATAAAAGTAGGCCATAACAAAGAAGCCAAAGCTTCAATAAACCTTAGTATATTATCCTTGAAAGCTTTTGTACAACACTACAAATGTTGACTCGATGTCAACTTTATAACTAGTCTCAATCAAATGTTTCACAATGAAAGAAGATGTCTATCTATCCATTGGAATTCATAACGAAATCATGAATGAAATCTATTTTAAATGATTGTTTGATCCGGATCAGTTATTTATAAAGCCAAATAATTTAAAACCATAGTGTAGTGAATGAGAACACAGGTGAGGACAACCGAATTGTATTTAGCACAACATTACAGAGTTACTTGGTAAAATAGAAAAATCATACTATAATACTTAATTTGCAAAATGTTCAATAATTGTCTCGCATCTCGTTGTTCTTGCATTTCCATACTAATTTCTTTCTATTCCCGTTCTTCCTTTCTTGATCTTCCTCATCTTCTGCTGCCAGACATTAAATTCCTGACTCGAAATATATACTACTTATTTCAATATAAGTAGTACGCGCCACAAAACAATCAGAATGGTAGTCATGTAACGATAATCATGAAATAAGTTAAGAAGTTATTTTTTTGCCCATTATCTAACCTCATTACAGTTTGTACAAAGATGTTATGAACATAAATCTTCCATTTTATTCTGTATGATTATCTAGGCTAACCTTATTTATGTGACCATGGTAATAAGAAGCCAAATATGAGTTGTATTAGATGGATTTATTTCAAGCTCATATTTATCCAAATAGACATTTAGAACAAAAAAAGCGACCTGATTAAATATCTGAGCTAATTGTTTTTATAATCTGAATCTTTTAATAAGTTATCTGCATTCTTATTTGTTTATTGATACATTACTTTTCTGGTTAGCGTTTTTTTTTGGCGAGTTAGTTTTCTAGGGGATGGGGTCGCTAACCCCATACCCAACCCTCCTCCTTTATCCGGTCTTGGGACCGGCAGTAGCCCCTAGAGGAACTCCAGGCGGAGTTATTGATACATCATTATGCCTATTTAAAAGGGGTGTAATTTACAAACAATCAATGAATTACATTATGATTAGTGAATAAAGTTTAATCATAATGAAAATAATCCAAACATGAATTCTCTATTTAGTTCCATTAATTGGTTTCTTTTTATAAATCGTTAATGACACAAAATGATTACTCGTTTCATGATCATAAAAAGTTGTTAAGCTCATTATATGAAGTGTTTTAAAGAAGGGCTTGTCTTTCTATTTGTTTAAAAAAAAGAAAACCAGAATATTTATTTACATTTTGTTAGTAAACGGTATAGTATCCAACATATGTAAATATATTCTAAGTAAAGATGTATAATGGTTAGCAGTAGGAATCAAGATATGTATTTCAACCTCTTTGGGACTCATAAGCTAGATGTACCTGCATCACGAAGTTGATGTTGACTATGGAACTCGAACTCAGTACTATTCGCTTCACACACCATCATGTCATTCAGTTAGCTACTAAATCCTGAAAGCCATTAAGCTTATGTAATGAAATGGAATTTAATTCATCTTTGTAATGGTTGTTTGAATCTTCCGATTGATGTTTAGCAATGCAATTGATCAGTCTTTAATTGGTATATGTGCATCCTGTGCGGATTGACTCGATATTGCCTTAAGTCGTAAGCTTTACAAGCAAAGATCGATAGTGACTAGCAGTAGAATCCAGGATGCGTGTTTCGTCCTATTTGATACTCGTCGGCTGGGTATACCTGCACCCGAGTAGATATTCACTTCAGGACTCGAACCCAGTACCGTTCGCTTTAAACGCCATTGCGTTATCCACTTAGCTCCTCTCTCTAATAATTTCTCGTGTCCCCTTGAGTTTGATTTATAATTTTCTCTGAGGTTATATGATTAGTGAATAAACATATAT